GCAACTGGGCAATTCTCCCGACATAAGTGACTCATTAAAGATCATTGCCAGAGGCACGCTGAGGGCCTGCGCTGCCTCTTTTAGTATCCACGGTGATACTTTGTCTGGTCCAACTGCTTTAGTTGCATCCAGTGTTGTCAACTGTTTCATTACCTCCTCTGCTGTCACCTCTATATCTGATAGTCTTTCATCTAGGGTAATCTCTTCTAACAATGGGAGCTGCTCAGGCTCGGTTGTGAACACTCCATGGAAACTGGCATTCAGTGCCTCGCAGATTTCCTTGTCACTTTCTGTATATGCCCCCTCTGTTTTCCTTAGTCTTGTCACTTGGTCGTTCACCGACATTTTTCTTCTTATATGGCTATGTAGTAATTTAGGTTGCTTTTTCGCTTTGATCGCAATATCGTTCTCATAATTTCTTTCCGATACTCTTCTTATGTTAATGTAATCGTTCCTAGCTCTGTTGCATCTAATCCTGTTGTCCTCTGTCCTTTGTCTTCTGTACTTCCTCCACTCCCTCCTGCTTCTCATTTTTGCTTCCTGACACTGTCTATTAAACCATGGGTTATTATATTCCCTCCTACTTTTTTCCTTTACTGTTGGTATAAATCTCTCTTCGGCCTCCTGGCATTTCCATATGACTAGGTTCATCATATCTTGGACTGTTTTTCCTCTAATTTCTTCCTCCCACTGCACTTCTCCCAGATAGTCCCTTATCCTCCTGTAGTCCCCTTTCCTGTAGTCAACTCTCCTTTCCCAGACCTCTTGTCCCATGGTCACAATTTTAAGTTCCATCATGTAGTCAAAGACTAGGACACAATGGTCACTGGCTCCTAGTGGTATTTCATGTTCCAAATTCTCGATGTCTTCTACATTCTGGGTGAAAATCAGGTCTAATAGGCTCGGTGTATCCCCTCCTCTTTCCCTTGTGTCTTCCTTCACATGTTGTGTTAGGAAATTCCTGTCTATAACGTCTACTAACTTTGCTCCCCACGTTTCCTCCCCGCCATGGGGATTCCTTGATTCCCAATTGATCTCTCCATGATTTAGGTCCCCCATGACCAGCAGTTTCGCTCTCATTCTGTGAGCTATTGTTGCTGCCCTCTGCAGTTCATCTATACATGCCTTGTTGTTGTCATCATACTCCTGCCTGGGTCTTCTACTGTTTGGTGGGGGATTGTAGATTATCAAGATCACAATCTTCTTCCCATCTGCTGTCAGAGTTCCATGTATGGAGCTTGTGCTTTCATTGGTACCCCGATTTTCCAGGTCTTCAAACTTCCATTTCCGCTCTATTAGGGGTGCCACTTACCTTCCCTGTCTCTGTGTCCTTTCTTTCCTTATCACTTGGTACTCCTCTGGAAAGATAGCATCAGAGACCATGCCATTTATTTTAGTTTCCACTATTGCAACTATGTCTGGATCTGCCTCACTAACTCTTTCTTTTATCTCTTCTGCTTTATTGGATACCCCATCAGCATTGGTGTACCAAACCTTGAGACTCTTCTTGGAAACTCTGGTACCAGAGTTTACCCTTTCTCTGGGGGTCTGGGGGGAATGGGGGCTGTCTGGGGGGGGGGGGTGTCTGGGGGCGAGTGGGGTCTGGGCATCTAGGGGTAGGGGGGGGGAGGGGTAGGAAAGGCATAATGGGTCTGAAAATTAGGGAGGGTCTGAGAGGCATAGGGGATTGAGAGGTTCAACGTGAGGCTGAGATCATTGGGGGGGGGGGAGAAGGATAGAGGTTGGGGGGAGAGGGAGGGAGATGGGGGAAGAGGTGAGAGGGTCACAGGGTAAGGGGGTCATATGGGAGATGGGGTGAGGGTTGGGTGGGGTTTGGGGTTGAGGGGAAGAGGGGGGCATTGGGAGCTGGGATGGAGCAGATGGAATTGAATGCAATGGGGGAAGAAGGAGCAAGATAGTTGCAGGTATTAGTAGGGGAGGAGGGGTGGGAAGGTTGGTTTGGGGAGGGGAGGGTTTGGCCAGATAGCGTCACTGAAAGGTGCGATGTAGCAGGTTGAGTTGACTGCAAGCGTGGAGGAAGGGGCAGGGGAGTTGTTGGGGATTGAAGCAGGGGCGGGGGTGGAGTGGGAGGGCTGAGTTGGATAGAGGTGTGACTTGGGAAAGAGTGGTGGAGGTAGTAGGGAGGGTAGGGTTCCGGTGGCATGCAGGCTGGTTCACCTTGTGGGCTACCTGTTCATCTTCCGTCATATACCTCTCAATTAACACATTGTAATGGGCTTCGCTGCCTCTGAGTAAATGTTTGTTTTTCATTATAAGGTCCAATCTGGCGGCTGAGTTCCACCTCGTTTCCTGCCATCTTGGTCCTAATACATCTCAAAATCTCATGTAAATCAAATTTTTCCATTTCTATCCTTTCATGCCTCGATGTTGCCCTAGATTCGAATAATCCTTGGAGGATAATTGACCACCTTCTCAGTGATGCACTCTCATGCTGGTCGCTCCTCCCCTGGATACCCCCCTCCCCCCTCCACACTAGCTACTCCATCCCCCACTAATCCCTCCCTCTTCTTCCCTGCTACTGCTTGACCTGGAGGCCCTTCCTGATCTGGTCATTGCAGTACACAACCTTAGCCAACAGGCGCTCCAGTCACCTTGCAGGATCTGCTACACAAGCGGCGAGAAAGTACCCAGGCGTCTCTTCACGCGGTGTGTCTGATAACATTGTGGCTGGCGTGAGGTCACAGTTGATCATTGTGGCTGGCGAGGTCACAGTTGATCACACATTGTGGCTGGTGAGGTCACAGTTGATCACACATTGTGGCTGGCGTGAGGTCACAGTTGATCACACATTGTGGCTGGTGAGGTCACAGTTGATCACACATTGTGGCTGGTGAGGTCACAGTTGATCACACATTGAGGCTGGTGAGGTCACAGTTGATCACACATTGAGGCTCACACATTGTGGCTGGTGAGGTCACAGTTGATCACACATGGCTGGTGAGGTCACAGTTGATCACACATTGTGGCTGGTGAGGTCACAGTTGATCACACATTGTGGCTGGTGAGGTCACAGTTGATCACACATTGTGGCTGGTGAGGTCACAGTTGATCACACATTGTGGCTGGTGAGGTCACAGTTGATCACACATTGTGGCTGGTGAGGTCACAGTTGATCACACATTGAGGCTGGTGAGGTCACAGTTGATCACACATTGAGGCTGGTGAGGTCACAGTTGATCACACATTGTGGCTGGTGAGGTCACAGTTGATCACACATTGTGGCTGGTGAGGTCACAGTTGATCACACATTGAGGCTGGTGAGGTCACAGTTGATCACACATTGAGGCTGGTGAGGTCACAGTTGATCACACATTGAGGCTGGTGAGGTCACAGTTGATCACACATTGAGGCTGGTGAGGTCACAGTTGATCACACATTGAGGCTGGCGTGAGGTCACAGTTGATCACACATTGTGGCTGGCGTGAGGTCACAGTTGATCACACATTGAGGCTGGTGAGGTCACAGTTGATCACACATTGTGGCTGGTGAGGTCACAGTTGATCACACATTGAGGCTGGTGAGGTCACAGTTGATCACACATTGAGGCTGGTGAGGTCACAGTTGATCACACATTGTGGCTGGTGAGGTCACAGTTGATCACACATTGTGGCTGGCGTGAGGTCACAGTTGATCACACATTGAGGCTGGTGAGGTCACAGTTGATCACACATTGTGGCTGGCGTGAGGTCACAGTCATTTTTTTTTCTACCACAGACGTGGCCACACATTTACAATGCTAACCAGCATATATACATTTTCTTCTGTCCTCCATGGACAGGGTTAGAGAAGTGTTAAACATATAGTTCAAGGGTTTATTGAACACTCAACCACAGAAGGTGATTCGGTGCTTTACATTAATGACACTATGTAAAAGACACATCAAACACTTTATGTAGGGCATACGTAAATCTGTGTATCTATGTATTTACGTATGTAGGTTAGCTTAGCATTTCACAGTCAGTGTGAGGTCACCTCCACTATTTCACAAGTGCCACAATGTGTCTAACTCTTATTATCAATGTCGCTATTTCTACTTTCCTTTTTCACTTTCTTATGGTTTGAGTCAGTTTACTAGTTATTCATTCACTCGTATACACTTTTTCACGTCAATGTATTCTGATTATCCCTCCCAATTCACTAGTAACCCAGGCGCCTCCCAACCACGTCCATCCACCACCACTGACGACGCGTGTGTGTATTATTCACCTAGTTGTGTTTGCGGGGGTTGAGCTTTGCTCTTTTGGCCCGCCTCTCAACTGTCAATCAACTGTTTACAAACTACTTTTTTTCCACACACACACACACACACACACACACACACACACACACACACACACACACACACACACACACACACACACACACACACACACACACACACACACACACACACACACACACAGACCAGGAAGCAGCCCGTGACGGCTGACTAACTCCCAGGTACCTATTTACTGCTAGGTAACAGGGGCATTCAGGGTGAAAGAAACTTTGCCCATTTGTTTCTACCTGGTGCGGGAATCGAACCCGCGCCGCCACAGAATTACGATTCCTGCGCGCTATCCACCAGGCTACCAGGCCCCCCTCTGTGGTGCGGGGGGGGGGGGCTGTGTGTGTGTGTGTGTGTGCATGCGAGCGCGCGTGCATCCAAAAACAGTGTTTTGAGTTTGCATTGAAGAAAGGTGACAGGCCTGACAGCTAAGTGGACAGCGCTTCAGATTCGTAGTCCTGAGGTTCCGGGTTCGATCCCCGGTGGAGGCGGAAACAAATGGGCAGAGATTCTGTCACCCTAATGCACCTGTTCACTATGGCTGTAAATAGGTATCTTGGAGTTAGACAACTGCTACGGGCTGCTTGCTGGGTGTGTCACGAAAAGGAGGCCTGGTCGAGAACCGGGCCGCGGGGACACTAAGCCGCGAAATCATCTCAAGATAACCTCAAGATAACCTTCACACCTGACGCGAACCTCAGTAGCAACGATGTTAGCTTATGTGACGGGGTAAACTGTTCTCTGTGTGATGGGGTAAACTGTTCTCTGTGTGACGGGGTAAACTGTTCTCTGTGTGATGGGGTAAACTGTTCTCTGACGGGGTAAACTGTTCTCTGTGTGACGGGGTAAACTGTTCTCTGTGTGACGGGGTAAACTGTTCTCTGTGTGACGGGGTAAACTGTTCTCTGTGTGACCAGGTAAACTGTTCTCTGTGTGACGGGGTAAACTGTTCTGTGTGACGGGGTAAACTGTTCTCTGTGTGACCAGGTAAACTGTTCTCTGTGTGACGGGGTACACTGTTCTCTGTGTGACGGGGTAAACTGTTCTCTGTGTGACCGGGTAAACTGTTCTCTGTGTGACCAGGTAAACTGTTCTCTGTGTGACAGGGTAAACTGTTCTCTGTGTGACCAGGTAAACTGTTCTCTGTGTGACGGGGTAAACTGTTCTCTGTGTGACCAGGTAAACTGTTCTCTGTGTGACGGGGTAAACTGTTCTCTGTGTGACGGGGTAAACTGTTCTCTGTGTGACGGGGTAAACTGTTCTCTGTGTGACGGGGTAAACTGTTCTGTGTGTGACGGGGTAAAGTTCTCTGTGTGACGGGGTAAACTGTTCTCTGTGTGACGGGGTAAACTGTTCTCTGTGTGACGGGGTAAACTGTTCTCTGTGTGACGGGGTAAACTGTTCTCTGTGTGACGGGGTAAACTGTTCTCTGTGTGACGGGGTAAACTGTTCTCTGTGTGACGGGGTAAACTGTTCTCTGTGTGACGGGGTAAACTGTTCTCTGTGTGACGGGGTAAACTGTTCTCTGTGTGACGGGGTAAACTGTGTGTGACGGGGTAAACTGTTCTCTGTGTGACGGGGTAAACTGTTCTCTGTGTGACGGGGTAAACTGTTCTCTGTGTGACGGGGTAAACTGTTCTCTGTGTGACGGGGTAAACTGTTCTCTGTGTGACGGGGTAAACTGTTCTCTGTGTGACGGGGTAAACTGTTCTCTGTGTGACGGGGTAAACTGTTCTCTGTGTGACGGGGTAAACTGTTCTCTGTGTGACGGGGTAAACTGTTCTCTGTGTGACGGGGTAAACTGTTCTCTGTGTGACCGGGTAAACTGTTCTCTGTGTGACGGGGTAAACTGTTCTCTGTGTGACCAGGTAAACTGTTCTCTGTGTGACGGGGTAAACTGTTCTCTGTGTGACGGGGTAAACTGTTCTCTGTGTGACCAGGTAAACTGTTCTCTGTGTGACGGGGTAAACTGTTCTCTGTGTGACGGGGTAAACTGTTCTCTGTGTGACGGGGTAAACTGTTCTCTGTGTGACGGGGTAAACTGTTCTCTGTGTGATGGGGTAAACTTTTCTCTGTGTGACGGGGTAAACTGTTCTCTGCGTGACGGGGTAAACTGTTCTCTGTGTGACGGGGTAAACTGTTCTCTGTGTGACCGAGGTAAACTGTTTTCTCTGTGTGACCAGGTAAACTGTTCTCTGTGTGACCGGGTAAACTGTTCTCTGTAACCGGGTTAAACTGTTCTCTGTGTGACCAGGTAAACTGTTCTCTAAGTGACCGGGGTAAACTGCTCTCTAAGTGACCGGGGTAAACTGTTCTCTGTGTGACGGGGTAAACTGCTCTCTAAGTGACCGGGGTAAACTGCTCTCTAAGTGACCGGGGTAAACTGCTCTCTAAGTGACCGGGGTAAACTGCTCTCTAAGTGACCGGGGTAAACTGCTCTCTAAGCGACCAGGGTAAACTGGTGTGAATATCAGCGACCGTTGAACAACTTCATGAGTTAACCAGATAACAGAGGAGCTTTTAAATTCTCAGAACAAAGTTAACAATGCTCTGATAAATAATTAGTTTTAACCTTATATTTTCAAGTATCTTTGCCAGCCATGGAAAGTTTTTGGATCGCATATTTTCTTAAAACATGGAAGAATCCGCCAGTGTTTTGTTCTGACATCTGTCATAGCTATTGTTTAGCGACTTTAGGGACACGTGAGTCATTTGATGCAGGAACAGCTTCACGTGAGTCATTTGATGCAGGAACAGCTTCACGTGACTCAGGAACAGCTTCACGTGATTCATTTGATGCAGGTAGAGCTTCACGTGACTCAGGAACAGCTTCACGTGATTCATTTGATGCAGGTAGAGCTTCACGTGACTCAGGAACAGCTTCACGTGATTCATTTGATGCAGGTAGAGCTTCACGTGACTCAGGAACAGCTTCACGTGATTCATTTGATGCAGGTAGAGCTTCACGTGAGCCATTTGATGCAGGAACAGCTTCACGTGAGTCATTTGATGCTGGAACAGCTTCACGTGACTCAGGAACAGCTTCACGTGATTCATTTGATGCAGGAACAGCTTCACGTGAGTCATTTGATGCAGGAAGAGCTTCACGTGAGTCATTTGATGCAGGAAGAGCTTCACGTGAGTCATTTGATGCAGGTAGAGCTTCACGTGAGTCATTTGATGCAGGAAGAGCTTCACGTGAGTCATTTGATGCAGGAAGAGCTTCACGTGAGTCATTTGATGCAGGTAGAGCTTCACGTGACTCAGGAACAGCTTCACGTGAGTCATTTGATGCAGGTAGAGCTTCACGTGAGTCATTTGATGCTGGAAGAGCTTCACGTGAGTCATTTGATGCAGGAAGAGCTTCACGTGAGTCATTTGATGCAGGTAGAGCTTCACGTGAGTCATTTGATGCAGGAAGAGCTTCACGTGAGTCATTTGATGCAGGAACAGCTTCACGTGAGTCATTTGATGCTGGAACAGCTTCACGTGAGTCATTTGATGCTGGTAGAGCTTCACGTGAGTCATTTGATGCAGGAAGAGCTTCACGTGAGTCATTTGATGCTGGTAGAGCTTCACGTGAGTCATTTGATGCAGGAACAGCTTCACGTGAGTCATTTGATGCAGGAACAGCTTCACGTGAGTCATTTGATGCAGGAAGAGCTTCACGTGAGTCATTTGATGCAGGAACAGCTTCATGTGAGTCATTTGATGCAGGAACAGCTTCACGTGAGTCATTTGATGCAGGAAGAACTTCACGTGAGTCATTTGATGCAGGAAGAGCTTCACGTGAGTCATTTGATGCAGGAAGAGCTTCACGGAGTCATTTGATGCAGGAACAGCTTCACGTGAGTCATTTGATGCAGGAAGAGCTTCACGTGAGTCATTTGATGCAGGAAGAGCTTCACGTGAGTCATTTGATGCAGGAACAGCTTCACGTGAGTCATTTGATGCAGGTAGAGCTTCACGTGAGTCATTTGATGCTGGAACAGCTTCACGTGAGTCATTTGATGCAGGAAGAGCTTCACGTGAGTCATTTGATGCAGGTAGAGCTTCACGTGAGTCATTTGATGCAGGTAGAACTTCACGTGAGTCATTTGATGCAGGTAGAGCTTCACGTGAGTCATTTGATGCAGGAAGAGCTTCACGTGAGTCATTTGATGCAGGAAGAGCTTCACGTGAGTCATTTGATGCAGGAAGAGCTTCACGTGAGTCATTTGATGCAGGAAGAGCTTCACGTGAGTCATTTGATGCAGGAAGAGCTTCACGTGAGTCATTTGATGCAGGTAGAGCTTCACGTGAGTCATTTGATGCAGGAAGAGCTTCACGTGAGTCATTTGATGCAGGAACAGCTTCACGTGAGTCATTTGATGCAGGTAGAGCTTCACGTGAGTCATTTGATGCAGGAAGAGCTTCACGTGAGTCATTTGATGCAGGAAGAGCTTCACGTGAGTCATTTGATGCAGGTAGAGCTTCACGTGAGTCATTTGATGCAGGAAGAGCTTCACGTGAGTCATTTGATGCAGGTAGAGCTTCACGTGAGTCATTTGATGCAGGAAGAGCTTCACGTGAGTCATTTGATGCAGGAAGAGCTTCACGTGAGTCATTTGATGCAGGAAGAGCTTCACGTGAGTCATTTGATGCAGGAAGAGCTTCACGTGAGTCATTTGATGCAGGAAGAGCTTCACGTGAGTCATTTGATGCAGGAACAGCTTCACGTGAGTCATTTGATGCAGGTAGAGCTTCACGTGAGTCATTTGATGCTGGAACAGCTTCACGTGAGTCATTTGATGCAGGAACAGCTTCACGTGAGTCATTTGATGCAGGAACAGCTTCACGTGAGTCATTTGATGCAGGTAGAGCTTCACGTGAGTCATTTGATGCTGGAACAGCTTCACGTGAGTCATTTGATGCAGGAAGAGCTTCACGTGAGTCATTTGATGCAGGAACAGCTTCACGTGAGTCATTTGATGCAGGTAGAGCTTCACGTGAGTCATTTGATGCAGGAAGAGCTTCACGTGAGTCATTTGATGCAGGTAGAGCTTCACGTGAGTCATTTGATGCAGGAAGAGCTTCACGTGAGTCATTTGATGCAGGAAGAGCTTCACGTGAGTCATTTGATGCAGGAACAGCTTCACGTGAGTCATTTGATGCAGGTAGAGCTTCACGTGAGTCATTTGATGCAGGTAGAGCTTCACGTGAGTCATTTGATGCAGGAAGAGCTTCACGTGAGTCATTTGATGCAGGAAGAGCTTCACGTGAGTCATTTGATGCAGGAAGAGCTTCACGTGAGTCATTTGATGCAGGAAGAGCTTCACGTGAGTCATTTGATGCAGGTAGAGCTTCACGTGAGTCATTTGATGCAGGAACAGCTTCACGTGAGTCATTTGATGCAGGAAGAGCTTCACGTGAGTCATTTGATGCAGGAACAGCTTCACGTGAGTCATTTGATGCTGGAACAGCTTCACGTGAGTCATTTGATGCTGGTAGAGCTTCACGTGAGTCATTTGATGCAGGAAGAGCTTCACGTGAGTCATTTGATGCAGGAACAGCTTCACGTGAGTCATTTGATGCAGGAAGAGCTTCACGTGAGTCATTTGATGCAGGTAGAGCTTCACGTGAGTCATTTACTCTATATCCACCATCTTCTTGAGGTTATCTTGAGATGATTTCGGGGCTTTAGTGTCCCCGCGGCCCGGTCCTCGACCAGACCTCCAACCCCAGGAAGCAGCCCGTGACAGCTGACTAACACCCAGGTACCTATTTTACTGCTAGGTAACAGGGGCATAGGGTGAAAGAAACTCTGCCCATTGTTTCTCGCCGGCGCCTGGGATCGAACCCAGGACCACAGGATCACAAGTCCCGCGTGCTGTCCGCTCGGCCGACCGCTCCCAGGGGCCAGATTCACGAAAGCACTTACGCCTGGTCTTACAACGAGTACAGCTTTTCTCAATCTTTGACGGCTTTGTTCCCAATTATTAAACAGCGGCTCCGAAGCACCAGGAGGCTGTTTGTGACAATAACAACAGCGCTGTTTTCATGCTTGTAAACTGTTTGCTTGTAACCAAAGCCGTTAAAGATTGAGGAAAGATGTACACGTTCGTAAGTGCTTGCAGTGCTTTCGTGAATCTGGCCCCTGGTCTCAGGGAGTCAGCTGCAGGCGAGGACAGCGGCGGGAGGAACCCTGTGACTCTAACAGCGCTGTTCAAAAGTGCTTGTTCAAAACTACACGTGTTGAACAGGTCGTATTCTTCACTGCCTGTCGCGCGGTACAAGGCCGTTACCGCGGGTTACAGCAGCGTGCTTTACGCGTTAAAAGTTATATTGGGCCATCAATGGGCATCACAAATGGGTAAAAATATAATATAGTGGGTTCCATCAATGGGCATCACAAATGGGTAAAAATATAATATATTGGGCCATCAATGGGCATCACAAATGGGTAAAAATATAATATAGTGGGTTCAGGAAATGTGGTTGAATACTGAATGTTTTATAAATTGATGGCGTTCAGAACAGCCAAACTAAAGTAGTAAAATTTGTCCGCGAGTATTGCTGCCTGACACTCCGCCCTAAAACTGATGTCATGGGAAAAAAATATATTAGTCGTGTGGTCACTAAACTCTTTTATCGTCCTCGCCAACTAGCTGCGTCCGCTATTGGTGGGGGGGGGGGGGTTGTGATGACTTATTGTTGGTGTGTGGTGGCTGGTGTGTGATTGTTGGTGGGGTGTGTGTTGAGGGTGTGGTGGTGGTGTGTGTTGTTGGGGGTGTGGTGTTGAGGGTGTGGTGGCTGGTGTGTGATTGTTGGTGGGGTGTGGTGTTGAGGGTGTGGTGGCTGGTGTGTGATTGTTGGTGGGGTGTGGTGTTGAGGGTGTGGTGGCTGGTGTGTGATTGTTGGTGGGGTGTGGTGGCTGGTGTGTGATTGTTGGTGGGGTGTGGTGTTGAGGGTGTGGTGGCTAGTGTGTGATTGTTGGTGGGGTGTGGTGTTGAGGGTGTGGTAGTATGGTGGTGGTGATTGTTGGTGGGGTGTGGTGTTGAGGGTGTGGTAGTATGGTGGTGGTGATTGTTGGTGGGGTGTGGTGTTGAGGGTGTGGTGGCTGGTGTGTGATTGTTGGTGGGGTGTGGTGTTGAGGGTGTGGTGGCTGGTGTGTGATTGTTGGTGGGGTGTGGTGTTGAGGGTGTGGTGGCTGGGGTGTGATTGTTGGTGGGGTGTGGTGTTGAGGGTGTGGTGGCTGGTGTGTGATTGTTGGTGGGGTGTGGTGTTGAGGGTGTGGTGGCTGGTGTGTGATTGTTGGTGGGGTGTGGTGTTGAGGGTGTGGTGGCTAGTGTGTGATTGTTGGTGGGGTGTGGTGTTGAGGGTGTGGTGGCTAGTGTGTGATTGTTGGTGGGGTGTGGTGTTGAGGGTGTGGTGGCTGGTGTGTGATTGTTGGTGGGGTGTGGTGTTGAGGGTGTGGTAGTATGGTGGTGGTGATTGTTGGGGGTGTTATTGTGTTGTAAGGTTGTGGTAGTATGGTGGTGGTGATTGTTGGGGGTGTTGTGGTGTTGTGGTAGTATGGTGATGGTGATTGTTGGGGGTGTGATTGTATTGTAAGGTTGTGGTAGTATGGTGGTGGTGATTGT